GCTAGTCATCACCACCAACCGCCAACTCTTTGGGGCTACTCTTTTATCAACGAATAGTGGGATTGACCGTCACATTATAACGCCCCCACGGCTGAAATGGCTAGCATGTTTGGTGGGACGGTGATTCGAACCCGCGACTCTCAGATTGCGAGACGAGCGCCCAAACCACCTGGCCATGCCGGGCCAATAAAATATTAACTTATACTTGTCCTTCGATAAAATTAATGTATGTTACACTGCAATTAATATCTTAAAAAAAAGCGTGATAAAAGAGTTAGCACAAAGGATCACATATAAAGTGTAATAAACTTAAAATAAGACCAGGTTGGGTCTTATTTAAAGTTTAAAGAAAGCGTGTACACCGTAATCAAATATTCTTATTTTTCGAAAAACTTATTTTGAAATTCATATTTAGATATATTATTGGATGAAACAGATAACTTACTGCTTTTCACTGTATCTAAATCTGTTATATTTGTCAGCTGATAAAGAGTTTTCCTACTTATAAGTACTATTACCTATAACATATTGATCTGTAGAAGGAAAATAGAAATGGACTGAAAGTACTATATGTTAATGTTTAAAAATGTGACATGAATATTCAAAATGTTATTCTAAACAAGCATGAGATATATCACTGGAAATATCACTGAGATATATCACTGGGAAGTGTATTGAAAACCTTAACTCCAAAGAGCAGTCATTGATAGAGCCAAAAGTAATCCATAATCTAGATTACTGAATAAATAAATTATTACTCTAAAGGAAGAAGCTGGTAGTTTACAAATATATGCAAGTTTAGATACAATTTATTATGGATTCATACATATCAAAGTTACTCAGAATCTATTACTCTTTCTAGTATATTATACATGTGTATCTTGGACATCTTTTATACATATTATACATGTGTATCTTGAACATATTTTATACAGATTATACATGTGTATCTTGGACATCTTTTATACATATTATACATGTGTATCTTGGACATCTTTTATACATATTATACATGTGTATCTTGGACATCTTTTATACATATTATACATGTGTATGTATAAAAGATGTCCAAGATATTATACATGTGTATCCTTGGACATCTTTTACACATATTATACATGTGTATCTTGGACATATTTTATACATATT